CCCGTAAGAGCCAACTGTCAAGGCTGAAGACTGAGTGTGGCAGCATCGTTTCCGGGACACCTGAGATTTTGAGTGAGATTGAGAGGTTCTATGGGCAGCTGTACACATCATCGTTGGAGCCACACGCAAGTGTGAGTAACGATCCAAGAGCAAGTCTTATCCGACACTATTCCGATGATATCCCGGACGTCAGTCTAAGCGAGATTAGAATGGCTCTCCAGCACCTTAAAAACGGCAGGGCCCCAGGCGAGGATGGAATTACGAAAACCATAACCAATCAACCCCAGATGCCACTTTGTCTGGCGTATGTGGACTATGAGAAAGCCTTTGATTCCGTCGAAATTTGGGCGGTGCTGCAGTCCCTTCAGCGGTGCCAAGTTGACTGTCGGTATATCGAATTGCTGAAGTGTTTGTACATTAGGGCTACGATGGCTATCCGAGTACAGAACCAGAGCTCGAAACCTATCCAACTGCAGAGCGGTGTAAGACAGGGTGACGTTATACCCCCGAAACTCTTCACCGCTGCATTGGAAGACGTTTTCAAGCTACTGGACCGGAAAGGATACGGTATTAACATACATCATAGAGATACATCACTCACCTTCGATTTGCCGACGATATAGTCCCTATGGCAGAATCGCTGGAGGACTTAAGCACTATGCTCAATGACCTCAATAGTGCCTCCCAACGGATAGGTCTTAAGATGAACATGGACAAAACAAAGATCATGTTTAATGTCCATGTCACACCTATGCCGGTAGTTGTTGGGAGCACTATGCTCGAAGTTGTTGACGAGTACGTTTACCTGGGACAAATAGTCCGACTAGGTAAGTCCAACTTCGACCGAGAGGTCAATCGACGGATTCAACTCGGCTGGGCAGCGTTCGGGAAATTACGACACATCTTCTCGTCAGGTATACCTCAATCTCTGAAAACTAAAGTGTACAACCAGTGCGTGTTGCCAGTGATGACTTACGGATCAGAGACGTGGTCCTTCACTGCTGGCCGTATGAGGACGCTCAAGGTCGCTCAGCGAGCTATGGAGAGGGCTATGCTCGGAGTTTCTCTGCGTGATAGACTCAGAAATGAGGATATCCGCAGTAAAACCAGAGTGACCGACATAGCCCAACGGATTAGTAAGCTGAAGTGGCAATGGGCCGGCCATATAGCTCGAAGAACCGATAACCGATGGGGAAGAAAGGTTCTCGAGTGGCAGCCTCGTACCGGTAGACGTAGTGTAGGGCGACCCCCACTAGATGGAGTGACGACCTGGTAAGATATGCAGGATGTCGATGGATGCAGGTGGCTCAGGACCGTGCTTTGTGGCATTATTTGGGGGAGCCCTATGTTCAGCAGTGGACTTGTGAAGGGCTGTGATGATGATGATGATGATGAAGACGAATAAGCAAAGAAATATGGCGTTGAGGTAGGTACTAAGACTTCCCCTTTATCATTCTGAATTAAACCCCATTGGGTGATTTGGACTGATGTAAAGGGTCACGTAGCTAGAAACACTACGTTTAAATTTGAAAAAGTTAAAGCATTGTTAAGTGATGGTATGGCGGAAGTCACGCCTGATCGGTAGAAGTAATGTGTGGAGCATGTTCAAAAAGAAGAAGTTTTTCAAACTTGATTTTATTGTAGATGACGTAACGGATAAATTTATTATACGTGTTACAGACGTCTGACTGTATAAACAATAAATTCCTCAAACAAAATATTTTTATCCTCATTTCCATAAACATAACATAACATATCATCAGACCTGTATCTCCTAAGGGGTAGGCAGAGATATTAACGCCCACATTTTGCCTGATATATTTAAGTCCCTCTCGTTAGGCAAGCGATATTCAGAAACATTATATTCTCGTTATTTTATTTAAATCTAAATTATACAATAATTGAAATTATAACAAAATTTATAAAAAGTCTATATTTTTGGTTTGATAGACATTTTTTAAAACTATATTGTCTACTTAAATATATAATCTAACTATCAAAAAGTTATGCACTCCTGCTATTCCTAATAACCTCGCATTGGTTTTATTCACATTTGGTATCGCTTCTTTTTGGCCATACTTTAATAAAAAATTGTTCTGTGATCTAGTGCAGTAGTGGTAGATCTTTTGATTTGATTAAATCCTGTGGTGGACAAAACTACGGGTACTATACTTAAGGTTTGGTGAATTCACATACTCGTACGTTTTTACGTGGACGTCTGTACGGATGTGTGCGTGCGTGTGTGTGTGTGTGTGTGTGTGTTTGTGTGTGTGCTTGCGTGCGTGCATGCGTGCGTGCGTGCGTGAGAGCGTGCGTGCGTGCGTGCGAGCGTGCGTGCGTGCGTGCGTGAGTGCGTGCGTGCGTGCGTGCATGAGTGCGTGAGTGCGTGAGTGCGTGCGTGCGTGAGTGCTTGGGTGCGAGCGTGCGTGCGTGCGTGTGTGCGTGTGTGTGTGTGTGTGTGTGTGTGTGTGTGTGTGTGTGTGTGTGTGTGTGTGTGTGTGTGTGTGTGGGTGCGTGCGTGCGTGCGTACGTGCGTGCGTGCTTGCGTGCGTGCGTGCATGCGTGCGTGCGTGCATGAGTGCGTGTGTGCGTGAATATGTGCTTGTGTGCGTGCGTGCGTGAGTGCGTGTGTGCGTGTGTGTGTGTGTGTGCTTGCGTGCGTGCATGCGTGCGTGTGTGGGTGGGTGCGTGCGTGCGTGCGTGAGAGCGTGCGTGCGTGCGTGCGAGCGTGCGTGCGTGTGTGCGTGTGTGTGTGTGTGTGTGTGTGTGTGTGTGTGTGTGTGTGTGCGTGCGTGCGTGCGTGCGTACGTGCGTGCGTGCTTGCGTGCGTGCGTACATGCGTGCGTGCGTGCATGAGTGCGTGTGTGCGTGAATATGTGCTTGTGTGCGTGCGTGCGTGTGTGTGTGCGTTGTGTGTGCGTGTGCATGTGTGTGTGTGTGTGTGTGCTTGTGCGAGAGTGTGTCCGTGTGTGTGTGTGTGTGTGTGTGTGTGTGTGTGTGTGTGTGTGTGTGTGTGTGTGTGTAAGTATGTAAGCCTTTCATAACTTTTGAACGTCTTGATCGAGAAAGATGCCGTTTAGATCTCAATGTGGAATAGATTTGGTGATAATATGAACTTATTCGGACGCGTAGATTTTGAGAAATCTCAAAAATAAAAATTTTGCAAAACTGTTTCTTTGGAATAACTTTTAAACGGCTTTACCGATCGATTTTAAAAACTCTTAACCTCAAAAAATGAAGTCGAATGCCGTTTGGAAAATAAAAATCGGTTCATTTGTTCGTGAGATATCGAAGGAGAAAGAATTGAAGAAAAAAAACGCATTTTTAACATAACTTCGAGATTTCGCAACATAATTTGGTGAAATTTGGAGCGCTTTGCATTTGAAATTAGCGGGAAGTTCCAGGGATGGCCTGCAGGGTCAACCAATTTTTGAATTTCATTTTTGAAGTATTTATACTTTGTAAGTCTTTCCGATATTGTTGAATACAGGTTGTGGGTGTTAGGTACAGCTATATCTGTTAAAGTTGCTGTTTGATGGTTATATTAGGTATGGCTCTATCGAAATATAACTTATATGTTTGGTTTTCTAAGATAGCCTCAGCAATATATTTATAGTAAGGTGTGCGTGAGGTCTGGATGAGATTGTATTTTAGTGCTAATTCTTGATGTATAATAACAACATGGTCATGTATATATTTATAGTCTGTTTGGACTGCTTTCCGTGATTCGGCTATGTGTTGTGTGTTTTATAGAGGGTTATTACACTTACGACAAACATCTGTTATATTTGGGATTTTCATAATATATTTCTTGTGATTTCGAGTGTCCGGTCTCTTTCAGTCAATTCCGAGAATAACGGGGTTCCGAATAGTGAGGATAAGCCCTCCAATCTCGAAAAACAGGACTCCGACTAAGATTCGATTTTATAAAAAAATATTTTAAAATTTAGGCGTATTTCTTACGCGATATATTGTAGCGAGAGCGCGTGGAGTGTATTAGGACCGAACGCTCAGTCGTTCGCTAGGGATAGCGCCTTAAAAAGAAGTCCCGCTGGGTTTCCTGCTGGTTGATACCTAGGACAGAGATCTTTTTCGAACCAGTAGTTAGAGTAAAATAATGACTTTCAGTAAGAATTACTTGTAATTTATAATAAATAAAAATTATTCTATTCTATTGTTTACTGTCATTTATCGGAAGCCGCCGTTACTTTTGGAATGTACCATCATCTTACATCAGAGATGTCAGATTAATAATAAATAAATTTTGATCGTCTTTGTGAAATGTTTTAAATTATCAATGTTTTTATTTATTTTTACCATTAACGTAACAGCCTATTAAAGTCCAGTGCTGACCATAGACCTCCCCCATAGATTGCCTCAGGACTATTTGCCATAGTTGCCACTCTAGCCAGCCAGCTAGTGACCGTAGTTTTTATTTTTATTTCTTATTTTGCTACCACACGGTAATCCGCTAATGGTATTTTTGCCGGCACAATTTTAATTACTGATGTATCTGCGGTGTGGTATAGGAAATATTACTGTGAGGAAGCTTGCACGTCTAACAAAAATATTATGAGGACATCTAGTTTATGAACACGCGCTTTTATGAACCATACAATGCGCACTGTACACTTTTTTTGCTCCAAACACAGTCGGGACGTATGTAAGTTGTAACTTAGCTATTTGTGATTGAAAAAAAATTAAAAACCAATAAATAAAATACATAATATGTATTAAATCACTTCAAGTCTTTCGATTACAATCATTAAAAAAGCTAAGCTCACATCAGAAATATTGTCATTCATTATTTTTGATCGTTTATTCAAACGTCAGATAAAATTACCTATCCATCGAATAAATTGCAACTTATTGGAATAAAAAAGTAAAACAATTGAACAATTTAATTCTATGTGTAGTTTTTATTACGTTTATGTTGTAATTAATCTGAAGAAAAGAGAAATCAATCCTTAGTCGAATTGATAATCTCCGTTTTTATTTGTTCACTCTTTATCCCAAATAAAACCACTCAGAATAAATTTATGCATGTAGACCGACGAGAAAATATTCCTCCCCGGTGAAGATCCTCCTGCGCCAATGTTGACGATCAAAGGCATTAAGTGTTCCGCTTCACCCGAGGGATGAGACTCTAAGCCTTGAGGCACTTTGTCCCAATATAAAATTTCTTTTTTTGCGTCAACGTCACCAGTAAGAACTTTATTTAGAAAACTATCGAATATTTCGTTAACGATAACCCTGTCATTCACTTTTTCTGCTTTCCTTAATTCAGCCATGTTATGATACGACATTCCTGAACCAAATATCGCGACGGCTTCTTTACGAAATTGATACAACACTTTTCCAATGTTTAAATGCTGCGATGTGTTCTGATTGTTCAATATTGAAACTTGAACTATAGGAATATCCGCACTAGGATTTATTAGCATCATTGGAATAAAAACTCCATGGTCCCAACCTCTTTTTTCGTCTAATGTTGATGGAATCCCTGCTTTATCGAACGCTTCGTGTATCTTACCTGCCAGAACTGGATCACCTGGAGCGTCATATTTGAATTTGTAACTTGCAGGTGGGTAATTATAGTAGTCGTATAACAAGTGATGTTGATTTCCCGACGATATCGTAACCGAGTCTTCCTCTCGATGAGCTGTTACGACTATCACAGCTTTTAGTCGCTTTAAGTCAACAATTTTCGAAATGTTACGCAGCGATTCCGCGATTTGTAAGTCATCTTCTATTCCCAAAATAGGAGCAGGACCGCCGCCATGATTGAGGAAAACAGATGGCGCGAAATATACTGAATCATGACAGTCCGTCATTAGTATTAACATCAAAAACACACCGATAATTAGCCTAATACGCGTATTAAACATGACACTGATAAGCTTCAACATTGTTTGTGTTTAAAACATTAAAAGTAAATCTGTTTTATTTATAAATCACTGACAAAGAAAATACCTTATTTGAATAAATTCTAAAACAACGCTACTTAGCTCGATATCATCCGAAAGTTTGCTGAAGACTGGTTTTTATAACACGTTGTTTATATACCTACATAACTATCAAGAGGTTATCACAGTTGATTTTAAATATTCATGTGTATTTAGAAGGTCTAACCTAACCACATTTTAATATTGAGGAATAATAAAAGCTGCGCGTACTATGCTGACGGAGTGGGCTCTGTTTTGATGGTTATCTACTAAAATAATATAAGTTGGTACTGGTAGGATCGCTGGTAATACAGATTTCGCAAGGTAAAATGCGAGACAGAAATTTTTTTGAATATCGCATGGTAACATCTGTCTTTCTACCCGATCACAATCTGGGTAATGTAATAAAGTAATGACAATAAGTAGTTATAATATAGTAATAATAAATTATAATTATAATTAATATATGGCGGCAGGGCTTGAGACCAAACCCACTTCCGAGTGCTCGTTTTTGCCTGACTCCATGGCCTCCGCGTATCCGTTGTGCAGGTGGAGTCAGAGGCCTCGGAATAAGGCGCGCCTAGCTTTCCTGGTGCTCTTACCTGAGAAAGAGAAGGGGGAGAAGAAGTTCTCCCCGAGAAAGGGCTGCCATGGGGCGGTTGGCGCCGGTGGAACCGCGGATGTGTGCGAAAGCCTTCCCGTGGCACAGCCAAAATGCAGCGAAGGTGAAACACCATGGGATTTTAGTCGATGCGAGACCTACACAAGCCGTCCTTGCCCCGCGAGGAGGGTATGAGTAGGCCTTTAAAGTGTAAGGCCCTCAAGCAACTCCGGGCACTCTAATCGACCGTTTATAAATCAAACAAAAAATTTCATATTCTAAATTTTTAGACGATCCTCAAGTGTAAGGATAACCTCCAATATCATACAGCTTTTTTTTTTTGCAAAAATTCTGTACGCGTTACCGCTTTATATGAACAGCACAATGTGAGTTCCAGATTAAACTTGCGTATTCTAGTATGCTTTTTACTTAACCCACATTACTTATTGCTATTATAATTAAATATTAATATAATTATAATTAATTATATTTATAATTATTATATGTAATTAATACCCTATTACCTTAATGTGGGTGTCTTCATGGCAAGAATAAATAGGCTTTTGTTGAGGCAGTGCGAATCACTATCGTCGGCTGCACCATCACTTACCATCGGGTGATATAAAAGTCAAGCACTGGCTTAGAAAAAAAATATGGTGGACCGCTAAGCATTCAGATGCTGTTGATGCTATTGATAATTTTGGCACAACGTAACGATGGTGAATCTTGCCTACTTAATTCTTCGGAACTTTATTGTAATTTCTATTTGATAAAAATGCAAAGAAACCCAATCCTATCAGAATTAACTCAGTCGGCGACGGTTGAACCAGTTGGTACTGTGTTTTTTTTATAAAATAAGGGTAACAAACGAGCACACAGTCCACCTGATGGTAAGTGGATGCTGTGGCCCATAGACATCTAAATTTATCCTCGACTAAGAATAAAAACGCAGATGCGTTGTCACCCCTGAGGACTAATATGGAATGTCTTATTTCCAGTAAAAAAGGCTTTCTTTTTTATAGAATAGGGTGACAAACGAACACACAGTCACATGGTAAGCGGTTGCTGCGACCCATAGAAATCTACATCTATCCTACATTACAGATCAAAATGCAGATGCGTTGTCACCCGTGAGGACTGAGATGGAATGCTTCGTTTCCAGTAAAAAGGCTCTCCGGATCTCTACACTCACCATACGAAACACGGCAGTATTAAGCTACTATTTCACGCTGGTATTCTATGAGAGCGTGGTCCTTCCACGGTCGAGTCGACCCATTATATACGACACATAACCATAATATACGAGCACCTATATATCTCGAAATAGAGATAAGAATATTATTACCACAGAACACTATTACATTATTACTTGCGAGGCCGAGTTTGCGTGTAGACACTTCACACTTCTTATTCTCATGATAATGAGTCCGATTATCGAAAGTACATTTTAAGTTAATTTACATTAAGTTATTATACTATTAACTTATTATACTCTAATTCCAGCGACCTCAAATGAAATTAATTTTACCGTTTTCTACTTCTTCCTTTATTTGTTTTGAATGACAGGGACATGTTGAATAATTGCATACATGTGAATAATTTCGACACAAAATTTGCGTAAAAAAGAGATATACAACATAATTATGTCTTTTGTTTTAAATACGTAATTGAGCAGATAAGTTAGCCAAAATTCATCACACAATATTCGTAGTCATATTTTATTGTTACATCAATTATACTGTTTTAAAAACAATTTCTGTGTGGATGTGCGTTACGTTGGTTCACTAGGTAGGTAGGATAATTAGATAAACCGAATTTCTCGCAATAATTATTTACTCATAAACTATACGCCTATGAACCAAAATCAAGCCAATCAGAGTTAAGTATATTCAAAGTTACAAAAGCCCTAATCTTTTTTCAGTAAGATTGAGAAATGACAGCCATTGTTTAACTATCCATGTTTTCGCAATATCGCTAGGTATTTGCAAAAATTCGGTTTGTGTATATACTACGACATATATAATCATACCGACTTTTGATCCAAGCCAATTTCAATTGGTGCATAATGTAAAGCTGATTTCACCATAGTAAAGTTGGTCAGCTGCTAGACATTGACTTGTGTGCACGTATTATATATATATCATTTATTTTAACCGACTTCAAAAGGAGGAGGTACGCAATTCGACTATTTTGTTTAATGTGTTGTTACTACAGAAAGTTTTTCTAAGTGACCCATTTTGATGTTTCTTTACTTATTTGAAAGCGGTACTTTTCATGTGGTCCCATATAAATTTGATCAACATGTGACCAGTAGTTTACGTGACATACATACATACGTCCGGCAGTAAAGGACCACGTCACAGATCCATAAGTCACCACTCGCAACACCCACTGGCTGTACAATCTTGTTTTAAGGTTTTGAGGTATACCTGACGAGAAAATGTGTCGTATTTTTTTCCCGAACGCTGCCCAGCCGCGTCGATTGACCTCTCGGTCGAAGTTAGACTTACTTAGTCGGACTATTTGTCCCAGGTAAAAAAACTCGTCAACAATTTCGAGCTTAGTGCTCACAACAACTACAGGCATAGGTGTGACATGGACGTTACACTGGACTTTTGTTTTGTTCATGGCTCTTACAAGCTGCGTTGTTTATTGTTATGGAAAAGTTGTAGGTTTTCGTTTTAAGCGAATATGTACCATTGTTAAGATTTGGAGGATATATAATGATAATATATACTTACATAAAGAGGATATATATTCAAACAAGAACTTAAAATACAGAATTTTAAGATGGACAGGTATAACCAGTCAACTGTACCTTTCGCATTTTTTTTTCAATTTTTTGCAATAGTTATTATTAGAACGTCATTTTTTCGTTCAAATACCTAGCTCTACCTTAATAATCAACTTATCATTAAACGTTGTTATTAACGTTGCACGATGTGTCTGTAATGAGTTATGAAGTTTCAAACTTTTGGAAGCAGAAGAAGCGAAGAAGCGCTTCTCAATTTGGCAAAATTTGCGGATAACTGGTTTTACCAGTAAACCCTCGACATAGAGATATACTTAAGACGTTTGAAAACATAAGGATTGTTTGCTATTTTTAATGCAGCCTGATTATCTTTCAACAAAGTTATTTGTCTCTCAACCTCAATTTTTAAATCAACCAAGACGTTGTTTAGCAAACAATTTCACTCACAACATCGTTGATTAAGGCCGAATACGAAGAGAACTGGCGAAAATTAATGTATTTCTCTTGACTAGAACTTTGACCTGAAGTAATTCTAAGCTTTAAAACATTTTTGTAGGTTTGTTCGGGTCCTTCACAATGTCACCGTCATTTTAAAATTTTAAAATAAATGAATATACCAACAAATAAAAGAATGTTAAGAAATGATATATAAAATTATTGTTCTTCCAAAACTCTGTGAATTTTAATTTAGGAAAAATTCTTTTACGTAAAAATGTTTGTATTGTGATTCCGAAGGTACCTGCTATCTTTATTTTCGATACAAAATATTATTTATTAACATAATTCGTTTTAATTAAAAACACCTAATAATAATATCGTATATTGCCAGATAACAGTTTGCCGTAATAAATTACCAGGCGCTTCGACGTGTGACGTAAGGTAACAACAGTCGATGTGTCTGTAGCGAAAATCGTTAATTTATTGTTTTATACGCGTTTAAGTGTCTATAAATGTAAATATGGGTAGGAAAAAAAAATGTTACCTAAGTGGTAAAACAAAGAGAGTTTATCGCATGAACGCTGCTCGAATGTTGTATTTTGAGGTTAATACTTATATTTAGTAAGGTAATTTTTTGTTTGAGGTTGCCTAATAGGTTGCATTTTTACTCATTTACATTAGCCAAACTGATCATTTATAGTTTTCTAGTTTCAAGTGAGAAAAACTAAAAATGTAAAATATCAAGACCCAGTCGGAAAATAATGTACAGAGTAGTACAAGCACAGAGACCGCAAATAATGTCAGTCAATGTATTGTCCGAAAGCATGGGGTAAAAGTACATAATTAAGAAAAACCGAAATACTTCGGATGTGAAGTGATTGACCAGTCGGAGTAGTCTTGTGAGAATTTACATACACAGTACCTATCCCCACTATGGGGCAATCACCGACTTTTTAGTTTTTTTTTCTTTATTATTTATGCAATTTGCACTACGGCATCTTGTAAGACTCACAAGAACAAACATTTTCCGTTATATGAGATTCTTTACGTACGATGCACCAATTAAGAAAAAAAAATCGTTATCAATTCAATCACTTT